ATCTAGAAATCTTATTAAGATAGTTTGACTTGTAGACATGATACTTTTTGGTCAACATCAGCTGTGCAGCCAAACAGCTGGCTGCTTGCCTTAATCACTGAACCTTTAGAAAGTGCTCCATAATTATTTTCATATCATACTCTGAAAATAACCCTGCTTAAAGAAATTGTGCATGTTGCTAGAAAAACAAATGCTGATTCAACAAAGCTCCTTTTAAAAATACTTTTGTACCTTTAGCTTAATAATGAGCAATGGCCTCATTGCTCTGCTGATTTGAATCCTGAAGACTTTGTATTGTCTATCTGGCAGCATAGTGAGACGTGCATTTTTTTCCAAGCTATTTTGCTCTGAAACAAGCACACATGGGTTTCTGTATGCAGACTTTTTTCAGCTTCTGAGGGTGGAATATTCTGCAACACTGTGGCACTTTAGTTTATTGAGCTTAACATATGGTTGGGGGGGATTGATGTGCCTGCTTGGCCCTATCCTCTGGACACAAGGAAAATTGGGAAATGACATTCCTTGGGAAATTAGGTTTATTAAGGATTATTTATAGGCAGGGTGCAAACCTAGAATTTGAAAACGGAACGGGGGGGGGGAGGTTCATGGGTGCTGGAAAACGTGGTACAGTAGCTGGCTGGGACCTAAGGGACAGAGACTGGTGTCTCCCATGGATCCCCCCATGTGATGCCTAGTCACATGGAAGGCAATTCTTGGCTATCCCAAGGCCTCATATTTTGTTGCTTATCTGTTATTAAATTTTAGAGTGAAGTCATCAAACAAATGGAGGCAAGCCATGAAATGACTGGCAACTGGCATTAGGATGGGAGAGTGAACTCCCCTGTGCCAGAAAAAGGTTAAAAGCTCCCTGGTGCAGAATACAGCCCCAGGGGAAAATATTGTAACCTAATCAAAATGACTGGTAGCTTTAAAAACAACAGAAAGATCCAAGAGATGGCACCAAGCTCTCCCTTTTTGGGGATAATGTATTGCAAACAAATTTGATGGAGACCCCGAGAGGATGAAATGACCCTTGACAGTGTGGATCTTGAGAAGAGTGACAGGTAGAGTGTGAGACTGAGGCCTGGCTGGAGCTGGGAAATCTGGTGTGCTAAGCGCCATATGGTCCTCCTAGCGCGTGTGCGAGACCTCATTTCCACACCCAACTGCTCACAAAAAAATAGCACTGGTGCTATCACCAGTTGCCTTAAACTCGCTTCAAACTGGGTGACCCCACCGTCTGGTCCTCGCTGCTGCAGCCTGGATGACCCACAGGTTGTAGGCTTTGTGCTCTGCCATGTGCAAGGAGAAATGTATTTTCAACTCTTTACTTTTTATAGGTGTGCATGTATATATCTGTATGTAAGTATATCTGGCTTACATTTAATGTCCAGTCTAGCAGAACAAGAGATCGTTCCTTACCATTTCCCCATTAGCAGATGGAAGTAAGATTTAAACCGAAGATGTCCCAAGCAAAGACAAATCTCCACTGTCTTCTTCCAGCCCCTCAAGGCAGGCACGGCTCTGCCTGTCACGGTCCTGGGCTGGGGCAGCAGCATCACTATCATCCCCAAAGTTAGTGTCCTCGTCTTGCAATGACTGTTTCTCTGTTCCCACAGGGACAATTTGAGCCACGTGCTCAGGAGTGGTGCCAGCATAGCTGTGCTTGCATTGATCTGCTGCTTGCATTGATCCGACGCTTTCCAGCACAGCGTGGTCTGCAGTCCATGGGTGTGGAGCAGAAGGCTGAATTTAGTTGACTTGGTGCTTGGAGGACACAGTAGGAAATTATTTGCCAGAATACAGGTTCAGGCAGGTCAGAAGAAGTCTAACACGGATCTTTCGGTAAAGCCCTGGGAAGAAAACATTTCCAAGGTAAGAGTGAGAAGTAGGCACATCTTGATGCTTTGTCTATTGATAGATAACATCTAACAGATGTAGTTCTTGCACTTGCCATTAATCAGGGAATCTTCCCACTCTCTGTACCTAAATGAAAAATCAGGGTACATACTTCCTAGAAACAGGAAAGAAATCATTGCTTGTAGCTGGACAAGATGCTAATCCTGAAATAAGGACTTTAGCTTTTAAACTTGCCATATCAGGATTTGTGCCACTTAAATTTATTTTTCTGAAGTGAAGAGGGAAGAGCACTAAAGCAATACTGTCCTGGGGGGGACTCTGGTCCCCAGCAGTGATGCAGGACCGGCATTGCCACTTCCCCTGGGGCACTGGTGGACCCTCTCCAAGGAAGGGAAATGTTGGGAGGCTCCTGCCTTTAGGGACCATACTCATGGTGTGAGGTCCTGTCCCTGTGAAACACTTCTGGTCTCCTCAGACTATTTTTCATTCATCATGGAGATTTGTAACTGCACCTCTAATGGCATTTTTTGATTAATGCATGTGAAGCATAGTCTCACAGGTGTGAAAACAGTGAATGTAATTTAGTATTTTGGTGTATAGGTTCTTGCTGTATCTCCAGTAATTGCAGACATATCATCTCTGCTAGTTTGAATGTATGCTTCAAAGTGTGTTTTATTATGTAGTATCAAAAAAGTGTGGTTATTTAATGTCAGTTGCAGAGCAAGGTTTGTGCTAGGAGGCCCAAGAACTGGGAAGGAGATGCTCTTACTTCTAAGCTGAGTGGAACTGTGTATAAAGAGAGCAGCTCTGAAAACCAAAGAGAGTTACTCTGCCATGTTGAAGTACAAATGCTAACAGCCATCTGGAAGACTTAATGGCTAGAAAAGGCACCGAGCACTGACTATAAAATCATGTTGCTGCCATGGTTCTGCAAGGATTTCCAGCCAAAGGGGGAGCTGAGGTGGGGATGGCCATGTACTGAAGACCACCAAGCCCAAACACAGCTGGGATGGTAGAAAGGGAGTGGAAAACGCAGCACGAGGGAGCTCCTGTAGCTGCTGCAAGCCCAAATGTGCTGACCTAGAGAGCAGCAGGCAAACCATCCCAACCCAACCTGCCAGTGGTGAGGGTCTTAAAAGTATTTGCTTTTATTTTTCCGCCTTTGACAATTCTTGAAAGCTGAAGTTCAAGTGCTACTAAAGATCTCAGGATTATAATAGGAGGTAATTAATAAAGGGTGAGTGAATTAGCTTCCAGTTCTCCATGGCAGTCAATGGAGATCAGGCATATGTTTTTTTCCAGAATATACTACCAATAAAATTAAGGAAAAAAGATTTCCCACATCTCCCCAGTGTACTGGTCAGCTATGCCTTTACTAAATGTTTCAGTATTCTTTTAATCGCTCAGGAGGCTTCTGAACTGTTTCAACACATCTACAGCTGTAAGTCTCTCCATGAAAGAAACCTATTAAAGGCAACAGCATACGCGAGTCACGGTAAACCACAAGCAATGAAACTTCCCACAGCCAAGAACTTTGGTGGTTACTCGTGCTGGTGCAAACTAACTATGGCTGGTATCGGATGCCAGAGCTGGAAATCCCTGCAGGAAGAAGCACGGGTACTGCGTTCTTCTTGGGGACTGAACTAACTCTTCAGGTGTGAGAGCTGAAGGCAGGTGGCTCGCAGTGACCTGGCCCTGGAGCTCTGCACCGGTGAGACTCTGCCTCCAGTGGCACCAGGCCACCAGCTGGCAGTTGCTAGAATTGCTGAGAAGGGTTTTGTATTTCCTAGAGGTTATTATTTAAATAAATTAAAAAAAGTTTACTTGATAACATTTCATAAGGAAAAGCTCTCCATTTTTCTTTCCTGTTTTTTTCTCCTAGGGCAGAAAGAAAGGGGGCAGAAAAACTTTGGGTTTTTTTTTCTTGAAAAAATTAAATGTAACTGTAATTCTGACCTCAAAGCTGGTTTAATAGGGTAAAAAAAGATTATTTAAAAGAAAACGACCAAAAAAACCCCCTGTACCCAGCCTCATTGCTACCACACACTTCAGCTGGGTTTGTTGCAGATCCATGACTTTACTCCAAATTGTCTGCATCAAATTCCAATGAAGCCTTCAGAAACTCATTCCCCCCACATGCATCTTGTTTACTCCAAGAATACATTTGGATTTTTTTTTTTTTTAAATAGAGCTTTAGTCTGAGCAAAAGTAATTGACTCATTAAACTTTTGCAGATGGCTGATTCCTTACAGGGCATAAAAGCTTCAGGTATTTTTTAGGCAGATATTGCAGTCTCTGACCTACTTAGGGCCCAAATCCTATTTGAGCACTGATGTCCTTCTGGTGGCACAAGTGGCTGTCAAGGTGGCAGTTAAGTGAGTATGCAAATGTTTGCAGAATCAGGGTCTAAATCCAGTTGCTGGATATGTGCTGATAAATAGGGTGATGGGTTTGTGCCCTCAGCGCTTCCCTGAGCCTTTGCTGGGGCAGGACCCGGCTCCATCGCAAAATCCTCATGGTGGTGTTTTAATACCACGAGGAACGGGAAACGCTGTCAGCAAGCAAGGGCAGCCCGAGCGTGGATGGACAGAGGGAACCGCTGCTCCCCCCGGGGCTCTGCCACCCAGGATGTGTTATAATTACTAAGGCTATGCTGGGAAAGGAGGCCAGAACAACAGCAAGACAGAAAACGCTGTTCTGCTGTCAAGGAAATGCTACAAAAGCAGGGGGGAGCGAGCGCTTCGAGAGCCGGGGGGGCCGGGGGCGGCGGGCAAGAGGGGAAAGAAGGACCCGGTGCAATGTGGTGCCGTCCCCTGTCCCAGCTGCCTCCACAAAAATATTAATAGTTTCTTTGCGGGCGAGTGGGGGAGGCAGTTTGGGGTTTTTTTGTGTGTGTGGGGGGTTTCCCCCCCCTTTCCCCGACGTCTTCCTTTAAAAAAAATAAAATAAAAAAATTTAATACTAATTTAAAAAGTGGCGGAGCTAAGGCGGAGGGGGGGAGGCCGGCTCGCCGCCCGGGCTCCGCGGGGTGGGGAGCGCGGAGCCCCGCCCGGCTGCTCCGCCCGGCGTGCGCGGGGGCA